TAGAAAATTGTAAATGTGAAATAAAAAATTATAAGTTTGCAATAGAAAATAACAAGTTTAAAATAAAAAATAATAAATTTCAAATAGAAAATTTTAATTTTGAAATAAAAAATTACAAATTTGTGTTAGGAAATAACAAATCTAAAATAAAAAATTACATGATTGAAATAGAGAATTGTAAGTTTGAAATAAGGAATTATAACTCTACATTAGAAAATAATAAGCCTAAGAAAGAGAATATTAGATGCAATAGAAAATAACAAATTTGATAAAAAAATTATAAGTTTAAAATAAAAAATTACAAATCTGTAATAAAAAATAACAAGTCTAAAATAAAAAATTACAAGTTTAAAATAGAGAATTACGAGTCTATGATAAAAAATAATAGCTTTAAGATACATCAAAAGAGGTGATTTTAGTGCTCATCTCTTCAATCTTTTAGAAAATATCAGAAAGCAGACAGCTCTAAGACAATAAAATCAAAGAAATTCAAATAGAAACAACTCAAAGAAAGCTCATGAATTATTTTTGGTTATCTTTTTGTCCCCTAACACCGAAAAGCATCATTTGAGCTTCATTTCGATGGGTAGAGCTGGAATTGAAGCCACAAGTTCTAACACGGCCAAAAAAATTCTCTGAGCAAGTGAGGATTTCATGATGATTCGCAAACAAACCTATAATTCATGAGGAATTTAGGAAACTTAATGGCTACAAATGGCCCCTCCACCACAGCAAAAAAGTATCACCCGGCCGAGAGAACCATAGAAAACAACTTCACGGACCTGGTTCCTATAGGCCTCTGCTTTGCCCAGTCGAGTTGCTGGTGAACAAGGGCAATGCTCAGAGTCAAATCGATGAGAGCGTCTGAAGTGGCTATACAAGCAGCCACACGGTGGCGTCTTATTCGTCTCCTTCGGCGGAACGTGAACTCTATCTTGAAGAGCATGGTGAACGGGGTGCAGCTAGTGGCCTGGCCTCTATACGCAGAACAGAGGATGAATGCAGTGATACTGGCGCAGGACGTAAAGGTTGTCACATCTGATAATTTTAACCCCGAGAAATAGGCTAAGGACCAGTTGACTTAGAGGGGTAATAGACGACACAACTTTTATACTCAAAACCCATGCAGTGTTTGGATTGATATTTTTAAAATACTCATATGATTTTATTTATAAATCACTTCCAACATGTTTTATACAAATCAAGAAAAACCTTAAACTTCATTAACCCTCATTTAAAATTCAACAACTTTCCAACTTTATCCTTATTTAATACTCCCTCCGTTCCTTATTATAAGAGACATTTGATGCTTATGGTATGTTCCTATATATAAGAGACACTTACAAGTTGTCTCTACTTTTTTGTGTTGATTTACTATTTTACCCATATTTATTATCTCCAACTCACACTCTCTCTCCCTCCCACTTCTCTTTCTTTTAATAATTTAATTGTTCTCTCTCATGCTCTCTCTTCTTATTAATGAGGGCATTTTTGGAAAAAAAATTATACTTTTTACACATTAATTGTTCTTAACTAATTTTAACTGTTTTTTTGATCAACGTACTTAGGTTATTTGTCTCTTATAATAAGGAACGGAGGGAGTATATATTATACCATATATAAACAAAGTCAACACAATAAGATTTCTCTCAGTATCCTATAAATAGGACAAAAAAATATCTTATCTTTCTTCCTTATAAATAGGGCTAAAAGAGTTCAGATAAAGAAAGAACTGGTTGAGAAGCAAGGATAGAAATTCCCAAAAATTCTCAAAAAAATCATGAAAAAATAGAATTAAGGGTCAAGAACAGTATTTGAGGCCCTAGACTTGTTAATGGGAGGAAAATAATTTAATATAAAATTTTTTATATTTTCAGAAATTTTTGGCTATACTAAATAATGGTAGCCAAAATTAATTATTTAAAATATCTAGAAACCTCAACAATTTTAAAAAAATGGAAAAAATTATTTGGGGGATTATTATAATTTATAAAATTATTTTCAACCTCAGAAGTTAAAGAGGTTAGCTTTAATAATATTTAAAGCTTAATTTTTGTCGGTAAAATACTGATTTTGAAAGAATTGAAATTAGAAATGTAGGGTGAAATAAATTCTGAGAAAAATTACAAAACTTTCTTACATCAAAAGGAGATTACTGAAATACTGAAATGAATTTTTAGAGACACTGGATTGAATAGGATATAGGAAAAATTCATCCGACCAAGCACCAATACTTAGGGGAATGATAGGATACTTGAGGAAGTGGATTTTCCCCCAAATTTTTCTAGCCATTTTCACCCCAATTTGGCCATGGAATATGACAAAGAATTAAAGAATATAAAATAGAAATAAAGCTTCTAGAAGGTGAGTAATCGAGAGGATTAAGGAGGTTAACTAAAGATTAAGTTATTTAATCTTGGATGATATAACCTCATGCCATGAACACCATGACATGACCCTCTTACATGGCAAGATCACAAGTCTCCTAGCTTAAGATTTGTCCATGTGTTATGGAGAGAAAAATGGAGGGTTGAGATTTAGCCACATAACCCTTGTAATTTCATAAAGCTTCAAGGGTTAAGAGTTGATAAGAGCACTATAAATACCCCATCCACCTCCTTCACAATTGGGCCAAAATAAGAACCTTGGAGAGGAATTGTTGCTCTTGGATTCTAGGAGAGAGAAAGAAAGAAAGAGGAAAGAGAAAAAGCAAGATGTGATTATCTAAGCCTAAGTACTTAATCAAGATATGTTTAAGCTTACATTGATTAATGAATGATTAGGATTTAATCTTGATGAGGTTAAATGACTTAAATCTAGAGGATTATATTGCCTTAATCACTTTATGATTTGATAAGCATGATTACAAATTGCATTAAAGATTAGGGGTTAAAGATTGATTAGAAATATATGATTACACATGAATTAAGGAAGAACTCGAAGACCCTAAGCTCATTTATACCATTCGGCCAAGGAAGAAAAATAGGCTAGGGTTTGATTCAAGTTGATTTGATGCTTTTAATAAGTTTAAGAGGTGAAATTATATAAGATTAAGTTGAGAACTTTTCTTCGGAAGTATTAAAAATTTAAAATAGAATTTTGAACCTAAACCCTACCCTATTCGGCTAACATGGAAAACATGGGAAGGAAATGGGTTTTGATAAATCTAAGTTGAAATATAAAATCTACATGGAAAATTATGTAGGAAAAGATCAAAAGATTTAATGAATCAAAGTTAGAAACAATAATCCAAAAATCAAAGGAAAAAAAGGTTAAGGGTATGTTGATAACTTAAATTGGATAGGTTAGTAATGTATGATACCCTAGTGTTTTACCAATAGGCTTTGCATCAAAGGAGGAAGAGAATTGGCAAAGAAGGAACTTGAAGACAAGAAGTTAAACTCATCAAGAGGTAGCAAGCATTTACAATTTCTATGTTGACTTGCATTGTATATTGACTATATATATGTTGTGTTTTGCTATGTCATGATGTGGTTGAAATAATTATGTGATGATATATTTAACTCCGTATATGAAATGCCTTGGCTATGTGTAATGTTGAGTTTTATGATTGAGAAAACATGTTATTATCTTTCCATGGCATATGCATTTAGATAAGTATAAAATGACTAGTGACATATAGCATATTATACCTTGCTTGTTAATATTTTAATTGTGATGCTTTGCTACTAAGATTTTCATGAAATCTTACCCTCTTAGTATTCAAACAAACCATCTAGGGTCTACTACTTCAAGGGAGAAAGGAAAAGAGGTGGCTATGACATGAATAGACGCCATATTTTGTGCTATCATGTAGTTTTAAACATTTCTCTTGAAATATATGGAGTTTTGTAGTGTGACTTATATGAATGACCCTTTGGGATATTTTGATGTATATGTATATTAAAACATGCTTTGATATCTAATTGCATGAGTAAATGGTTAGTATGCAGAATTATGGGCTTAATATGCAAAATTAATGTAGTTAATGGATAGAAATGACATTAAAATGACCAATTTTTTGCTACACAAAATTTTGGTCAAATGGTTGATTTTGTTCACGGGACTTGGCATGCAATTAGAGCTCATTTTTAGTTTTAAAATGAGTGATATTTCATCCAGTTTGGATATCTATACAGAAAGTTATGCCTATCCAAAATTAGATAAAAATACTGAAAAATTGAAAATGATGAAATGAGTAGTAATTATTTGACTTAAAGCTAGGCTCGAATTCTAAGAGTAACCATCCAGTTACATTTTTCTTTTTTCCTCAAAAGAGAATTAAGAGAGTTTTAAATAGAATTTGAAATCATTTTATTTTGATTTTTTTAGAATTAGTTATGATTTTTCAAAATAAAATTAGTTATGACTTACTAAAATTTGGCCTATTTTATGGTTGCAAGTGAATAGTAATCCGAGAAGAAGAAATTTGCAACTTGAGTTTTCTCAATTTGATAACTTGATAAGTGGTTCTAGTTGTTTCTATTTGATATATGAAAAGGTCTAAAAATAAGATGTGATAAAAATGACGTTGAGGCTTAAGGCGAGTGAGAGTGGTTGATGGAGAGGCACAAGATAGCCAAAGTGGTAAAGGATTTAAGGGAAGGTAAAGAATGCAAGAAGCTTCAGAATAAAGAATGTAAAGGAAGTCACAAATAGGCTTTTTCTGGGAATGATGAAGAGAGGGGAGAGAAGGAAAAGAAGGAAAGATAAGGAGCTGGTGTCTCAGGAGAAAAGAGAGAAAAAGATATTTTAGTTTTTTAAGTAGCATTTCATAGTTTATATTTAAGACTTGGTTTTTTTTAAGTAATTTTTTTCATTCAAGTAAAAAAAATTTTATATTTAAGATGTGAGGAGTATTTTTCTATTTTAAGAATGTTTTAATGCGATTTTCTCTATTTAATTTCCTCTCAAAATAAAAATGGTTTTACGCAACTCTAGAACGTTTCAACGAAACACCTTCCAAGCGACTTTTGTCATTAACTTCTCGAATAAGTAAAATTCTGGATATGGGAAAGCTCACGTCCGCCGCGGAAAAGCCTTGAAACAAAAGGTCCTTCTCTAGAAAGCCGCGTTTCTGAGCATAGTGCGATCTTCAAATTTCTAATTTCTCCGAAGCATCGTTCTCTTTATTCGAATTTCGATCGAGATCTGGAGTGAGTTCGCCGGTTTTCCCAGATGGCTCTGAATCCTCAACTTTTTCCTAATGGGATGCCCGTTCCTTTTGTGAACGAGATGTTTGTCTTGGCCAGAGATGGCGTTGAGTTCGAGGTCGATAAGATTCCTGGGTGCGTAACTCTTGATTCTTGAACATAAACTTTACATGCTTTTGTTCAGTTTCTCTCTTAATAATAGGACTGAAGGATCGGGGAAAGGGTTTGTTGGTTTCTCACACCGTCCGAGGATTGGATACGTACTTGCACAAGTTTCTTCTAATTGGGTTTTCAGGGATACGTACGCGCACAAACTATTGGCATTTTTCATGAATTTTACCTTGCCTAGGAGTAATTCTCTGTTTGTGAACCTTTAACCTTGTCAGAGCATTGTGAAGTAGCTGGCTTTGATGTCAAACAGGCATAAGAAAGCCTGGACCACATGAGTTTGGGTTAGTAAGCTACACGGCTTGGAGTGCATCAGCTTCTGAGGTACTTGGACTGGAAACTGGAAAGCCAAATGGAAAATAATTTGAATCTAAGTTCATCTTATGGCTTCTGATGTCCAGACAAGTCTTCCCTCGCAGATTCCCGACTTATTCTCATTTGGATATCATTTTTTCTTGTCCAAAGCCACCCAAGAAGCCCAAATCTGGGCCTACTTTCTGGAACGTAAACTCTTTTAAAGCCCAACATTAACGGTTAGATTTGCCTTATAGCCCATGTTCTTCCTATGACATTGTTGGTCTTACAGCACTTCGATAAAACTTTCAGAATAACTTTTGTGGCCTTTCTCCATTTGAACCATCCAGCTTGTGTGTGTAATATCTCCATCAATTTCACTATCGTCTTGTATAATTGATCCCAAAACAAAGCAAAACGGTGATTAGAGGCAGTTATGTTGCAAGTGCCGCATTGTAACTTAAATAAGCGACTTATTTGTTTCAAGGGAATGTGAAAATATGTAGATATGCTGTCACAACATGTTTCTGTCGAAGGTACAAGATCAGGAGAATAATTCTGTGGGATTAATATGCATAGAATATATCCGTTTAACCGGTGACATTCTTTCTAGTGGTTATCATGACTGAATTTTCATGGTACTTATTCATGAATTATATGCTGTGCCATGTGTTATTATGACTTATTCGATATATATGGTGGGGATGGCTAAGGGATTGGCTGCATCATCAGCCTTTTGCAAGCAGTACTATCATGCCTCTTTCTTGCTGCTGTTTGTGCGTATGGCAACTTCAGGTTCTTGTTCCTTTAAATGAATCTGTTATTAATAATTCAACTTCTTGAGCATTTTCTCAAAATAACCTTGGCTCCATGAAGCAGATCGATAAGAACAAATAGAACCGTTGATTTGGATGACATTTACCTTTTAAGTTGTGGCCTACAGGTAAGAGACAGTAGGCAAAAGACAGTAGATAAAGCTATTTTGTTTCTCTGGAAGAAAAAACGGTCCTTCTTAAATTGGCAACCTGCAACCATGTATGATAGTTCAGGGTTGTATTCTCTGATCAGCGAGATGCTAGCTTTACCTTTTAATTCTATTCCCATGTGTCTCCTCCAGCATATTACTATGTTTACATTGCATTGCAACTATTCTTAATTAACGCTTTCAGTTTACAACCATATTTCATTCTTGAAGAGGGAATTGTTGAAAATCATTACAGAACAATGGTAGGAAATGCTATAGTACTGATCGGATATTGGAAAGGTACATTGGGAATATTTTAACGAAACGATGATATGAGTACCTAGTGAATTGGATATCATCACTTTTGCACTCAAACCTCTAATAAATACCCATAGCATGGTAATCGAGAATACTTCTTTTTCTTTTCAATTCTTATTGTGGTTTCTTTTTATATTAGTAACCGTATGCTGTATATTTTACTTGGGACAAATTGAACTGTTTATTAGTTTTGCTTCCCACATCTGATATTTTAGACGTGATTTGGGTCCATTTTCTAGTTCTCTCTCTTTTAAACTTACAGTCAGATGACTTTAGATGATGTTGATTTAATCATCGTTTTGTTGTTAACTTCTGTGATGCATGGCCAGAAATCAAGGGGGTCACATCAAAACAAAGGGAACCATCTATTTGTCAAATATACGAATGGTTTTTGTTGCTAAACTGCCTGTTGGAGACTTTGCAGCTTTTGACATGCCTTTGGTATGTGAATCTGCTTTTATCATTGTTTAAATATTATTGCCTGTTATATCCTCTTTTTACTCTCTCTTTATTTGGTTCTCTCCTCACCTGATTATTATGGCAAATAATTAAATTTCATTATAGAAGAATAATTACTGCTAGATAGTGGGTAAGGTATGATCAAACAGGAGATGGTAAGAAAAGCTCAATAGAGAGCATATATTGTTCCTACAGATGCGGAAAAATCAGTCAAAAATGAAACTCCGTAGTACAATATAAAAGCAAAGCATCAATAAACATGAAAAATAAATCTGTAAGAACTGGAAGGAAACCTTCTCTCTCATCACAGCACTAATGTCGAAGTTAATGCACAATGGTGGATAGAAATTGGGCAAACTTACCTTGCTGGAGCTAAGGCATGATGGCAGTGGCTGAGCAGTCGTAGAAGTGTGATACCAGCAACAGAATTTTGCTGAAGGGTGGTTGCCACTGGAGATGTTCTAAGAAGACAAGACACATGGGGGTGAAAGGGAAAATATGAATTTAGCCTAATATATCAAAATCTTGCCAGGCCAACCCCCTGAGGCTTAATGCATAAGCCTATTCAATACGATCTGTGCATCAAACAATATATAAGCTCATAATGCGTTGTATAAGAGTTTATAATTTGGTCTTCCACAGTATATCAAATGGACCCTTGCTCTAGGACGAGTAGGCTTTTGAAGGATTGGCTAGCGTGGGTTCTCGTGTCTGGACAATCAATGGAAGGGGTAATAGGAAGTGAAGAAAGGGGGGAGGACTGTGGGACTAAGCATGACAGCATCCCTACAACCGTTTTGTGATGTTTCCTATTGCTACTTTTATTATAGGCTAAGCCTGAAAGGTGAATATTGTCCTGGAAGTTTAAATTGTGACAATTTTGCCCTCTACCGTTAAAAATTTTGTGGTCAATCTCAATATTTTAATGTTTGTTAGAGGGCAAAATTGTCATGATTTTAAACTTTATGGGCAATATTGGGGCAATATTGAACCTGAAAAACTTTTGGGTGCCTAATACTTATGAGTGAAAACTTCTAGGATAAATTCGCATCTTAATGCTTTTTATTATTTATATAGTCTATTTAAGCATTTCGAATTTTGACTGGGCTGTTGGGAAGCTTTTTGAAATTCGTTTGATTTCTTGCACCCAAAAGATTCTTTGAAGTATTAGAAAGAGTGTGAGTGAGATTTTTACTCTACACTTGAAGTAGAGTTGTTTTGTCTATGAAATCATTATTTCCATTCCAATTCCTATGTAGTTTTTGGCTATCATAATTCTTGCCATGTTGGTTTGATAAACATAATTAGTGAAGATAAAGCATCTTTTGCGTGTTTTCTCTACCGCTATTATATGTTGCAGTTTTGCTAATTTTTAGCTTTCCTCATGATGCAGCTTTACATCCATGGTGAAAAATTTAACCAACCAATATTTCACTGCAACAATATTTCTGGACTTGTCGAGCCTGTAAGTTTCAGTGGGCGATTATTAAACCCTGGTTTATTGGGTATTCTGAGTCTTGGCTCTGTTTTATTCTTGTATTTTTTCTGTTAATATTCATTTTGGTGTCGGAAAGAATAATCAGAATTCTCGGAACATTAAAAGAGGACATAATCTGGGGGTAGATACCCCCTTTTTTTTGTAAGACATATGATTCACTGTGTTTGTGTAATTGTCGTTGTAGTGTACCAGTTGTTCCACAACCTAAGTTGTGTGAAATTTATGTAGGTTGTACCGGATGACCAACACACAGCTCTTCATTCCACACACTCATTTAAGATCTTGTTCAAAGAAGGGGGCTGTGGAACCTTTGTCCCTCTTTTCTTCAATTTGATTGCTTCAGTAAGGCGTTATAATCAACACTCTAATATCAGGACGGAATCCTACCTGGATCCTTTGCAAGCATCACAGCCGCCTGTAGATGAGATGATGAGACACGCGTAAGCGAAATTTTTGCTCTGTCATTACTGATTTATGTGAGCCAATTGGTAAGATGTTAATTTTTTCTATTGCAGGTATGTTGATCCTAATGATCCAACAAGAATATTTCTACAACAACCTAACCCTGATTCCCAGCTTAGGCGCCGAACATATCAGCCCCACTCAGTTGAAGGCCATCTATGAGTCTATGTTACCCGATCATTTCCCATGTATGGGTGCTGATATTGTATTATATTTTAATAAAATTACATGATACAACAGATCATCTGTGTAGTTCTCATACATGGAACGTATAACTAAAAGTTCACATTGAAATGTATGGTATGCGGCATATTTATATCTTTATGTTCACGGGGTTTCTCATGGTTCTGCACCTGTTTGGTAACGAATTGTTAGTGTCCTTAAAACAGATTAACCCTTGGAGTCATTCATGAACATCAAGCATCACAAGAACGATCTTTTTAGTGACTATCTCATTCTAAGCTCGAAGCGAAGTGTTGAGTAACTGGTATTGAGTTCATAGCTTACATAATCAAGTACGCTGTATTTTTCGACAAGGTAAATTTTATTTTAATCAGAGAATACATGCATTGTAGAGGCATCTTTTCAGGAAAGAGACTTGGCAATGTCACATGATACACATGCAATGGTCAATGCTTGTGAACGATGTTACTGTTAATGCTTTGATTATACCTTTAAAAGCAAATTTGGCCAGGTAGTGAGAGAATGACATTTTATCTTGATTACAAACGTTAGCAAATGAAAACTTACAATTCATGTCGTGGTTCATTGTTTTCACGTGAAAATCTGTATCATCTATGTTGTGATCAGTATGATTCACCGTGAATTATGAGTTTGCATGAGGCATGATACAATGATTTCATTAATATGGATTTGAATTGAGTTTATAATTACATTTTATGCTGATCAATGACGGCTAAATAATGCATGATGAATGCTCATAATGAAGGCATATCGGAAACGATCTCGAAGCATCCAGAACGCAGGCAGAGCGTCGGAACTCGGGGCACTAATTAATGGAGGGCAACATTGGATTCATGCCCAGCCCAGAACCACCAGAGCGACCGGGTTCCACATGTTTCACCGTACCGAAATGCCGGATGTGGCGTAGAAGTCTTGCTAAGAAGGTATTATGGCAAATTGTGGAGCTGTCACAAACCACAGCTACATGTTTGCGTGCCCTCGTGATGGCAACATTGATTCTTCTGCTATCACCTAGGAATCCAACAGCACCTAAAGCGTTTGAACGTACCTATAATATATAGAGAGAAGAAAACAAATTAATTCATATGAGAACATAAATGCCAGTTATTAACTTCAATTCTCATCATCATCCATCAAAGCCCATTGAGCTAGAAGATAAATATTTTAAATCCAGTTAAAAACAGCCAAAAAAAAGTTCCCTGCGTTTCCAATCAAGGCTGTATTCTTATGATTCTCCCTGCGTTTAATCATTTGATAACTAGAGTCATTCTTTGATAAATGATCACAATGATCACAATGAGTCGGACTCAATAAAATTTAACCCATCTTTTATAAAATGAAGATTCATCAGCACACAAAATAAATAAAAAAATTTGTGAATATTTAATAATAATTTTATAATTGAAAAAAAAAAAGCAACGACAACATCGTCATGATAATAAACCATTATATTGTATATCCTTTTCTTAACAAAAAGAATAATTTTTCATATTTCAACTAAACAGGCCACAATTGTATGATCTTCTTTTTATCATTACAACATAAATCTATATTTTTCCAAATCAAAAGATATTCCCTGTTGATGAGCACCCAGGTGGAGTGAACCCTTTCTTAAAAGTTAGTGATTAAGGCAGAAAAACCAACTCAAATATTTTATAGAGGATCCCGTGCAATACTATGACATCACACATACCTTAGTCTCAATCAATTGGCCCCATTTGGGAACCAACATCCTAGTGATCCTAATTCATTGCTGCCACCAAAACACACGCGAGGGGACATGGGGGAGCGGCAAAATGGCAGAAAATGGGGGACTATCGATCCAAAAGAAAGCACAGGAGTTATTACACAAAAAGCCACAGGAGTAGAGGAGCAAAATAAGGGAGTAATGATGAAAGGAAGGAATGAGTAGTGGAAAAAGTGAAAATGGGGGAATAGAGAGATTAGCTAAGAGCAAGAAGGGATAAGAACTTATGGTCAGAATATGGTTTGGATGGACAGAGCCAACCACTTGAAAGTTGGAAAACTTGTTATGTTCTATATTAATGTGTTTGTAGTATGCATGCTTGTTTAGTTGACAAAATATTAACTCAAATATTTTATAGAGGATCCCATGCAATACTATGCATGCTTGAAGTGTAACATTCCAAATTTTTTTTCATACGATTAATTGCGGGTGATCGATGTTAGGAGGTAATTTTAGTGGTGTAACTGGCTTGCATGCGCCCCAATTTGTATTGTTACTTGTGATGTCATGACCTAGGGCCCTTTTTGATAAACTGGTAATGAACTTCTACTGTTGACCTTGGGATTTAAACTCATATTAGACTTTATTATAACTTGGGATGTTGTGGCCTATACCCTACTACTTTTGCGAATTTTTATTGAGTTGAAAGGAGTATTTTGATTAATAAATGTTGAATTTGTATTTGGCTTGTGGAATGTTGATGATAACTCAGGCCTGGGAGTACCCTTAGCCCAATCATGTGGTTTAAATTTGTTTCAGGATTCCAAATGTTTTGCATTGAGATTATCAAAGTTAACAGATTTTATGAAAAAGGGTATTCCATAGATGAAGACCAAAGGAAACACTCAATAAAGTATTAAACAAAATATTTTGGTTAATAACTTATCCAAAGATTTAGTTGTTAATAGAGCACAATAGCATTACACAATTCATTTAGCCAACTCCAGCTAACAAGATAAGGCTTCTTATTGTTGTTTTGAATCAGCAACCCGTTTCTTCACCAGATGATGTCATTTATGGGATCTGAATTGTACAGTATCTTGCAGCAAGAGTACAATAATAGCATTTGCTTCATTTTGTTGTTTGTTGCTGTACTTTTGTCTTCTTTGGGTGTAATAGGGTTGTTGGGTTGTATTTTATAAGCTAGTATAGTGTAATATTGGTTCAGTGAAATGGTAAAACTCAAGTTTCATAATCTAATTTGTTCTTGTTCGTAGTTTAGTTAGAAAACATCTCTAGTTCCTAACTTAGTAGGTGTTTGGATTAGCTTTTTGAAAGTGATTTCATGGAGTTCGAGGTAAGTATGTGAGAGAAGTTTTATCACGACTTATGTGAAAGAAATTTTTTTAATTGCTTTTAAAGGTTCCCAAACACCCCCTTAATCTCAATTGATCAGCCCCTCTTTGAGAGCCAGCGTCCTACACTCTGTGACACTTTTGCTTCCTCACTAATTAGAACCCTTTACAGTGGCATTTTAAAAAATGACCATTAATTGGCCTCTTTAGAGAGCCCATGTTCCAAGGACTAGGCCTTATGACTCTTCCCCCAACTTCTTCACTAGTCATAACTGTCAATAGATAACCTTTTCCAAAATCAACTACTAGCTACTATGGATAGGTACTTAAGTGAGAAGGCGGAACCTCAAGTTAACTATTAAGGTAGCAGAACTATAGGAATTGTAAAGATAGAGGCTGTGATCATTTTACCTATAGGAATCAAAGAAAAGTTTTTGACATTGTGATGTCAGCACTAAATTCTTTGCATAGAGCCTTTTATTTTATTTTATATATATATGGTTTTAGAGGCACAGGGAAAACATTTTTGTGGAATGCGTTGACATCAACTATTCGTTCTCGAGGTGATATTATTCTAACAGTGGCAACAAGTGGTATAGCTGTAACTTTATTACCCTCTGGAAGAACTGCTCACTTAAGGTTTGCAATTCCTATTCAAGTCAAGGAAGATTCTGTGTGCAATATTAAATAAAATTCTCCACTGGCTAATTTACTTCAAGTCACAAAGCGATTGTATGGGATGAAGCTCTGATGGTTCAATGATATTGCATTGAAGCATTTGATCGTATGTTGAAGTTTATAATGCATTCTGATCACCCCTTTAGTGGAAAATGTATTGTTATGGGTGGTGATTTTCGGCAAATTCTTCCTGTGATTCCCAAAGGGTCAAGAGTAGACATCATTAATGCTTGCATTTGTTCTTCGTATTTGTGGGATTATTGCACGATATTCCAATTGATAGTAATATGCGCTTGCAATCATCATCATCGAGAGAGGATCGTACTCGTGCCCAAAGGTTTTGTCAATAGCTTTTAGATGTGGGCGATGGTAAATTGGGTATGCCACATGATGGAACTGCAGAAATTGAGATACCTTCTAAACTGTTGATTAGTGAATATGATGAGCCAATTGGTGCCATTGTCTCGTCTACATATACAGATCTTTTGGAAAATTTGAACGAAAATTCCTATTTTAATGATCTAGCAGTTTTAGCATCAACAATTGGTGCTGTGAATCGAATCAATAAGTAGATGTGTTCGATTTTGCTTGGTGAATCTGTTGATTTTTATAGTTGTTACTCCATTTGCAAATCCTCTCAAGATGGTGATTGTATTGAAGACATGTACACTATTGAGTTTTTGAATACAATAAATTTCTCTAGGATGCCTATGCATAAGTTGACCTTAAAGATTGGGACATCGATTATGCTTTTGAGAAACATTGACCAAACTTCAGGGTTATGCAATGGAACAAGATTACGGGCTACTTAGAGAGGAAAATCGATAATTGAAGCAGTCACTTTGAATGGCTCAATGCCGAATCAGAAGGTGTTAATACATCGCATGGACATGAATCTCTCTAATAGTCGGCTGCCATTTTGTATGAGACGAAGTTAGTTCCCAATATTTGTTTTATTTGCAATGACTATAAATAAAAGTCAAGGTCAGTCATTGTAGTTTGTTGGATTATACTTGCCGAAACCTATTTTTACACATAGGCAATTATATGTTGCGCTATCTAGAGTTAAATCTATTGACGGGTTGAAGATTCTCTTGCACAATGATGAGAGTGCGAAAAAGAACTTGACAATGAATGTTGTATACAAGGAAGTGTTTCTTAATGCAAATATTAGATGTTGATATATAAGTTTCATGAAGATACAAGCATATATGTAATAGTGAACTATTTTTAGCGCAAGCATTTAGGCAGGAATTAATTTGTTTTTGTTATGCAGACATGATTTTGTAAAACGAATTTGCCTCTGTTCTATATGTTTGTATGGTATGAGTTATTATATTATTTCGTATTTTCATTTTTGATATAAGAAATGCATTTTGGGATTGATATGGGCCTTTTGCCGAACATTATTTATTTTGGAAAA